AAACTGTCAGACAAGAAGAGACTAAAGAGATATTAGAACTACATGTAAAATAGGGGCGCCTGGGTGGCTCAGTTGGTTAAGCGACTGCCTTCGGCTCAGGTCATGATCCTGGAGTCCCGGGATCGAGTCCCGCATCGGGCTCCCTGCTCGGCAGGGAGTCTGCTTCTCCCTCTGGCCCTCCTCCCTCTCATGCTCTCTCTCATTCTCTCTGTCTCAAATAAATAAATAAAATCTTTAGGGCGCCTGGGTGGCTCAGTTGGTTAGGCAACTGCCTTCGGCTCAGGTCATGATCCTGGAGTCCCGGGATCGAGTCCCACATCAGGCTCCCTGCTTGGCGGGGGGTCTGCTTCTCCCTCTGACCCTCTCCCCTCTCGTGCTCTCTGTCTCTCATTCTCTCTCTCAAATAAATAAATAAAATCTTAAAAAAAAAATTAAAATTAAAAATTAAAGATTAAAAAAAAAAAAAAAGAACTACATGTAAAATAGATGGAATCCTGGAATACAGTAAGGACATTAGAGGAAAAATTAATAGAATCCAGGGGCGCCTGGGTGGCTCAGTCGTTAAGCGTATGCCTTTGGCTCAGGTCATGATCCCAGGGTCCTGGAATCAAGCCCCACATCGGGCTCCCCGCTCCATGGGAAGCCTGCTTCTCCCTTTCCCACTCCCTCTGTTTGTGTTCCCTCTCTTGCTGTGTCTCTCTTGCTGTGTCTCTCTCTGTCAAATAAATAAATAAAATCTTTAAAAAAAAGTAATAGAATCCAAATAAAGTCTAGAGTTTAGTTTGTGTGTGGTAGAAAAAATCATAAAATTTACTGTCTTAGCCATTTTTAAGTGTATTATTCAAAAGTGTTAAGTATGCTTACATTGTTGCAAAACAGATCTCGAGAACCTTTTTATCTTGCAGAACTGAAGCTCTATACCTATTAAACAACTCCCTTTGCACCCTCCCCCCATCCCTTGGTAATCACCATTCCATTTCCTATATCTACAAATTTGACTATTTTAGGTACCTCACGTAAGTGGGACCATACAATATTGTCCTTTTGTGGACTGGTTTATTCACTTAGCATGATATTCTCAACGTTCATCCACACTGTAGCATATAACAGATTTCCTTCCTTTTCAAGGCTGCATATATACATTCATCCATTAATGGACATTTGGGTTGTTTTCATCTCTTGGCTATTGTGAATAGTGCTCCTATGAACATGGGTATGCAGTATTTTTTTTAATGGGCAAAAGATCTTCAAAACCAAACAAGATGGCAAATAAGAACAGGAAGATGTTCAACATCATTACTCATTAGGGAAATACAAATTAAAACCATAATGAGATATTCCCACACACCTGTAAGAAGCCAAAAACCAACCAACCAACCAACAAACCAGCACTGGCTGGAGGGACTACAACTCATATATTGCTGAAGGGAATGTAAAATAGTACACCTCTTTGGAAAACAGTTTGGTGTTTTTCTTTATAAGAAACATATACTTAGGGGCGCCTGGGTGGCTCAGTCGTTAATTGTCTGCCTTCAGCTCAGGTCATGATCCCAGGGTCCTGGGATCGAGTCCTACATCGGGCTCCCTGCTCTGCGGGAAGCCTGCTTCTCCCTCTCCCGCTCCCCCGGCTTGTGTTCCTGCTCTCGCTATGTCTCTCTCTGTCAAATAAATAAATAAAACCTTTAAAAAAAAAAAAAAAAGAAAGAAACATATACTTAGGGCACCTGGGTGGCTCAGTTGGTTAAGCGACTGCCTTCAGCTCAGGTCATGATCCTGGAGTCCCGGGATCGAGTCCTGCATCGGGCTCCCTGCTCGGCAGGGAGCCTGCTTCTCCCTCTGACCCTCCCCCCTCTCATGTGCTCTCTGTCTCTGTCATTCTCTCTGTCTCAAATAAATAAATAAACTCTTTAAAAAAAAAAAAAAGAATGCTTAAAAAAAAAAAGAAAAAGAAAGAAACATATACTTAACCATGATAGCCAAAAACCCATTCACAGGTATGTAACCGGGTGAAATGAAAGCCTGTGTTCACATAAAACCCTGCACAATGATGGTCACAGGGGCTTCATTCATAATCATTAAAAACTGGAAACCTCCCAAATGTCCTTCAACTGAGAAATGGATAAACTAAGCTGGCATAGTCCTACAACAGGATATTATTCCACAATAAAAAGGAATAAACAGGGGCGCCTGGGTGGCTCAGTCGTTTAAGTGTGTGCCTTTGGCTCAGGTCATGATCCCAGTTTTCTGGGATCAAGTCCTGCATCAGGCTCCCTGCTTGTGCTCTCTCTCGCTCTCTCTCAAATAAATAATTTTTTTTTTTAAAGGAATAAACTACTGATACATGCATCAACATGGATGAATTTCAAATAAATTACTATGTAAAAGAAGCCAGACTCAAAAGACTATACAATCTCATCTTTGGGGTTTTTTTTTTTTTTAAATAAAACTATGAAAAAAAGGAAAAAGAAAAACTCTGAGACCAGGGAACAGATTCGTGGCTGCTGAGGGTTTAGGGTGAGTGAAGGAGTTGACCTCATAAGAGCACAAGAGACATTTCTGGGATGATGAAACTCTTTTATATCTTGATTTTTTGTGATAATTATACTTTTATACACATTTGTCAAAACTCAGAATTGTACATTAAAAACCACACATGTAAATTATACCTTTAAAAAACTTGACTTAAAAAACTAAATGTTTTAGGGCGCCTGGGTGGCTCAGTCAGTTAAGCATGTGCCTTCGGCTCAGGTCATGATCCCAGGGTCCTGGGAACAAGTCCTCCATCGGGCTCCCTGCTTAGCGGGGAGTCTGCTTCTCCCTCTGACCCTACCCCCTGCTCATGTTCTCTCTCTCTCTAACTCTCTCTCTCAAACACATAAATAAAATCTTAAAAAACAAAACAAAACCGTTTTTTCATCATACTTTATACAAAATGGAAAGCACTGTAACATGCTCTTTGTTGTGTTTCATTTAGTGAAATTTTTCATTTTCCTATTTGTGATCTCCTGGTTCACATTTTAATTGCCTTGGCAGATTTGAGCATGCCCAGATATCCTCTCTTATCTTGTTGCTGTAGCTACAAGGGCTTACCTCATTTGAATGTGCACATGGCCCAATTGAGTAGGTATGTCAGGCTTCTATAAAATATCTCCCCCACTCCAACTCTCCTTCCTTTCCTCATTGAAAGACATCTTTATTCATCTATTAATGGATGCTAAGGCCTCTGAGGCAGCTCTTCACCCTTGGAAAATTCTACATTCTCGAAAACAAGGATATTGGTAAAGCTGGGTGAACACAAAACCACATTAGGAACACTGAGCACATTTGGCAATAGGAAGTCTGCTAAAGGGTTCTCATGGAAGACTTCCTACCTCCTAAAAAAAGACCATGTGTCTTGGTATGACAACTGGAACTTGTTATTCTCAGGGGAGCTGACCTGAGGCTAAAGCTATTATACTTAGAAAGAAAGTGGAGAAACAGAAAACACCCGGGTCCTTGAGCATCGGATCACATCTTTCTGGAAGTGTCATTCCTTAGAATTCTTGCAAAGTGAAATAATTTTCCTATTGTTCAAGGTAGTTTAAGTCAGAGTTTTTTGATACTTGCAGGTAAAAACATCCTACTAATACAATGCCCTACTCCCACTGCCTAAGATGTCATAGCAAAGCTATCTGTGGCTCTTAAAAGTTTTTCTCTACTGCTCTAAAAAAGAAAATCTATTAGAAAAACATTCTGTTGGGGCGCCTGGGTGGCTCCGTTGTTAAGCATCTGCCTTCGGTCAGGTCATGGTCCCAGGGTCCTGGGATTGAGCCCCACATCGGGCTCCCTGCTCGGCAGGAAGCCTGCTTCTCCCTCTCCCACTCCCCCTGCTTGTGTTCCCTCTCTCGCTGTGTCTCTCTCTGTCAAATAAATAAATAAAATCTTTATTAAAAAAAAAGAAAAAAAAATTTTGTCCTCCTAGGCAATCCTTCTTTTCTACTGTTTGCTTCTACTCTTTCTCCTAGTACTTGTTCCAAATCCCCTCTAGTTTGCACCTGATATGGGAGAGAGTTTTTACAAATAGTCCCAACAAAAGGGATAAAGCAAACTAATCTGTAGTGACAGGAAGCAGACTGGTGGTTGCCCAGAGAAAGAAAGCAAGGGACAGAGGTGGTTAGAGGTGGTAGGAGGGACATAAAGGGATAAAGGAAACTTTTGGTAGGTGACGGGTATGTTCATTATCTTGAGTGTAGTGAAAGCTTCGTATATATAGATGTATGTCAAAACATCAAAAATTGCATACTTTAAACAAGTGCAGTTTATTATATATCAATTTTACCTCAATAAAGCTAGTAAGTGAGGGTCTGTTTGTTCTTTTTAAAGCTTTAGTGAGGGGCTTTCTGTTTCTGTGGAATCTACAGAAACCCTTCCTGACCTTTCAAATTCCAGGTAGGTTTGTAGACTCTTCCCTCAAATTTACAGAAATACATGTCCTCTTTCAGAAATAAGTTATATTTACTATGGCCACAAAGTAAATTTTCACTGAGCCAATCACCAAAAGGATGGCAAGAGAGATTTTTATCTACTGCCCACTTCTTCTTGTAGGTTATGATAAAAATACATAGGTACATTAAAACTCTTTAAAATCCTGTACCTTCTCAAATCACACAATGTTCCTTTGGGATCCAAGCTCTTCTATTTGCCGCTGTCAATTTCCACCCACTCTTTCACTCCCATCTCACTGGCAGTCACTAAATCCACAAGCCTACCTACTTTCTCTCTCTCTCACAAACATAAGGGCTATAGGGCTGCTAACCAGCTTTGTCCTGAGATGAATTTTGAGTTCCCAAAATCAAAGAACTCCACATATAACTTCCTATTGCCTGAGAAGAGACTTCTAGATTTCTGTGCCAAGCAGGGAACCAAGCAACTAGAAGAGAATCTTTTGTAGTCTTTTCCTCTTACATGCCAAAAATTCCAGCTGATGGCGGGGAGGGGAGTAAAAAGAAAAGACAGCTTACCCATAGAGTAGAGGTTGTCAAAGCTCTGGTGCATGCGGATAATCTCATAGTAGAGTTCATCATAGCTGCTGGGAGTGGGCAGGAATGTGTCGCCATATGTGATAAACATATTAAATAGGTTCACAATCTAAAAAAGAAGCAAAAGGGGTGCCTGGGTGGCTCAGTTGGTTAAGCGTCTGCCTTCGGCTCAGGTCATGATCCCAGGGTCCTGGGATCGAGCCCTGCATCGGGCTCCCTGCTCAGCAGGAAGCCTGCTTCTCCCTCTCCCACTCCCCCTGCTTGTGTTCCCTCTCTTGCTGTATCTCTCTCTGTCAAATAAATAAATAAAATTAAAAAAAAATTTTTTTAAATAAATAAATAAATAAAAAAGAAGCAAAAGCCCATACACAGGCATCGTGCTATGAAGACCACAGAAGGGTATTGTCAGTAGTATGCTGAAGCCTGTTCTTATTGGCTTGTAAGAGCTGACTGTTAAAATTTTCAGGAATTTTGTGAGCTGGTTGTTTAACAAAAAAGCCATTATTACAAATTGACATATAAACTTACAATTCAATAAATTACATTAAAATGAAGGTAATACTCAAACTTAAAACTTCCTAATTATTTTCTATCTTTTAGTATTATTTATGTTCTTGAGATTAATTTACACTTCTTATACCTGTGTGGTGGGAATATCATATAATGGTGTGTTATTGCTCATCTCCCCAGCTCTACATTCAACAACGTCACATTGTCAGCTTGAAATTGGCCATGATGGGAATAGTTGTACCACAGAAATCCACAAATGCTACAAATCAGGGCTTTTTCCCCTCAAATGTTAAACATTTATGAACACATTGGGTAACAACCTGAGAAGACAGTCAAAACGCACAATGTCCTCCTTCTACCCCAAGTAACCAGTCAGATAAATAGGCATCTATAATGTCCCTCTGAAACCAAGTGCAGCCATGATGGAACCATTCATCTGGCTGGGACACCTCCAGAGGCTTTGCTCTGCACCAACATAGAGACTATAGTAGCCTAGTAGTTCAGTCTCTCACCGGGGACCAAGGCTCACAGAGATCTGACCCATACCTGTCCCTACCAAACAATACACTCTCATGAAAGAGAAAGAATCTCAAGTTTGCCAAAGACATAGGTGAGAGAGGAAGAGTGGGAAGCACCAGTCTAGAGATTCAAATCCAAAAGGAAAATAAAGGCCTCACTCCCCCTACGCCTTAGTCCCCAGAATACTAGCTCCTGTTTCAACCTGGCCTATCTATCTTAGGGTATGGCTTCAGAAAAAGGGGAAAAAAATGTTTTTAATTGAAGTACAATTGACACACATTACATTAGTTTCAGGTGTATAACATAGTGACTCAACAAGTCTATATATCATGCTATGCTCACCACAAGTGGAACTACTGTCTGTCACCATGTAACACCATTACAACACCACTGACTATACTCCCTATGCTGTACCTTTTATCCCCATGACTTATTCTTTCCACAACTAGAAGCCTATACCTCCCACTCCCCTTAAGAAATATTTTTTGGGGGGCACCTGGGTGGCTCAGTTGGTTAAGCGACTGCCTTCGGCTCAGGTCATGATCCCGGAGTCCCGGGATCGAGTCCTGCATCGGGCTCCCTGCTCAGCGGGGAGTCTGCTTCTCCCTCTGCCCCTCCCCCTCTCATGCTCTCTCTATCTCATTCTCTCTCTCAAATAAATAAATAAAATCTTTAAAAAAAAAAAAAAATTTTTTTTTTGTTACTCACCATAAGGGCTAATGTAAAAATGTTGTGTTTGGCCAGAAGTACAGTCTCATTTGACATAAGGAACTTCAGCAAATTTATCAAGGCTTTAAAAAAAAAAAAAAGACATCAACAAGGTATTCAAAGAGTAATTAATAAACTTAAATCAAACAATGAAAATAGATTTAAGAAATCCAAATAGGGCTAGAACAAGTAAGTCACAGCTACCAAGAATTTTTTAAAAGCAGGTAAGGTAGATATATCTAAAGCAAGCAATGACCTTCCCAAGCACATATCTGTTTATCTGTCCTTAGAAGGTTTTTAAAAATCTACTTCTTTGTACCACTTTTTTTTTTAATACTATTAGTTTATCATAAAAGAGAGACACAAAAATTACATGATGAAAGATTACACAACTTCACTGGAATGGGCAGCTTCACTTAATGCCGTTTCAATAATGATTTCTTTCAGTCTACATACTTTCCGAGAATGTCACCATCTCTAAATAAGAAATAATCCTTATCATCTAGAACTACTTTGGTGCTTCCATATTCTGAGAGAAGAACTTGATCTTGAACTTTCATACTAACTGGTTGAATTTCTCTACCCTTTCCTTTAGAGCCCAATCTAACAGCTACTACTGTTGCTTGCAATACAGTTCCTTGAGATTTTTCTGGAAGCATAATGCCTCCTCTGGTTACAGTTTTGGCACCTCTCCTTTCCACTAAAAGTTGGCCAAAGAGAGGAAGAAACTTTCTAAACATCTGTCCTGCCACGACTCCAGCTGCTGCAAGGGAGACCCAGTTTGACCTCTTTGTGCCACTTCTTTAATAGCAATTAAACTTGGAAATCTGACTACAAAAAGGACATCTCAGGGGCCCCTGGGTGGCTCAGACAGTTAAGCTTCTGATTCTTGGGTTTGGATCTGGTCATGATCTGATGGATCCAGCTCTGTGCTCAGTGAGGAGTCTGCTTGAGATTCTCTCCCTCTGCTCTCTCCCCCCCTCTCTAAAATAAACAAACAAATGTTTTTAAAAAGCAGGGGGGCGCCTGGATGGCTCAGTCGTTAAGCATCTGCCTTCGGCTCAGGTCATGATCCCAGGGTCCTGGGATCGAGCCCCGCATCGGGCTCCCTGCTCCACGGGAAGCCTGCTTCTCCCTCTCCCACTCCCCCTGCTTGTGTTCCCTCTCTCGTTGTGTCTCTCCCTGTCAAATAAATAAATAAAATCTTAAAAAAAAAAAAAGGACCTCTTAGTATTCCAAGTTTACTCCCACACAGTGATTTCCCCACCAAATTTGTTCAATTTATAGATCAAAATGAGGATCCCCCTCTCATCCTAGGCTAATGGCATGTCATTTCACAATGTTTTAGCTATGCATTTGTTTCAAACATCATAGCTAAGAGGGGCACCTTTCAATTCTAACTGGTCACCAGATGTGCCAACTGTATTGTACTTCAGCTCCAGATGGGAAGAGAGCTCATGAAGAGAAAAAAAAGCCCCTAACTGTTCAAACAAAAGTACAGCTTACCCTTTCCTCTCTCAACCATGACAACATTTACTGAAAAGGTCCCCTTTCTCCCTGATATGCTTAATGAGGATTAAAACCCAGGCAACCTCAGTTAAAAGACTGACTGCCAAATACCTAGCTTAACACTGTAGGTATAAAGACATTTTTGCAAATAAATATTAAGCATAAAAGAAATCATCAGTTGCCTGTTCTCTTTCACCCACACCCATGAAGTAAATCCTACTTCTGTGCCCATCATGACTACTGACGCTGTACCTACCTCCCCTACTTGATGGGAAACTATGAAGAAGGGGTTCAGCAGCTGCAACCAATTGGTGGTCCTTCTGTCTTCTCCCCCTAAACCTTCTCTACTCCCACAGACACAAAAAAAGACTTGACCTCTCCTTTTCTAAGACCATATCTGCTGCTTTGCCGGCAAAGAAGTCCATTTGGCTGAGCTTTGTGTGAAGTTTACTACCCTTCGAGAAGAGATGTGAGCTTTGATTTGAAACAGCAGGGAATGATGAGTAGGAGTAAGACTCTCCAGATACTTGCTGCCTGCCACACAACACTCCTTACTCTCAACCTCTGAAATCACAGGTATAGTAAAGAAACAGCAGGCAAGGAAAAGTACAAGGGCCTGTCTCCGTTCTATTTCTAAAGCCTGACTCTTCCCCTCAAATGGCAAAAAAGCCTTGCTAGAGATGAAGGTCATAGGCACCCTCGTTTATGAACTCTTCACCCTTGCACTGACTCAAGTTCTCTGAGGTTTCATAATGGAAAGGCAAATGACAGGCAGCTGGCCCTTTTGATGTTATCTGTTAACAAGCAAACTGTTGGACTAGACCCCAAAAAAAGCTCCATAGGAGCCCATTCTTGATCACACGACCTGCTTAACTCCTACCAGGAGCTCAGAGAATAAAGGGGACTAGCGAAAATCCATATAAAAATGACTAACCCAGCCCAAACCTCTCTCTTTAATAAGATCATCTTGCCGAGTTATTTAAGGGCTGCCCACTCTACCCACTACCCCCAGAGCTTAGCAAGCCCTGTTAATGGGTAAATCACCTGACAATCAGACTCTAAAAACTCACAGGAGACAAGAGAAGAGGATGGGTAAGAGCACGTGGCGCTGGGTAGAACAGCAAAACATAATGGCTGGAGAGAGACAAAGCAGCTTTTGCACACGTCCCATCAATGAGGGCTTCTGTCCCTAGCATACGCAGCACAAAGATGCAACCTCAGCAGTGGTTATGTGGTAATTAAGGAGCAGAAAACCTGGAGAAAAGGAAGTGGGAGCGATGATTTATTGCTCCTCTGCTGGACTACAGCTAGTTTTGATCTCTGGGATTCAGAGTCAGGGATGACAAAGTGATAAATATAAGGGGAGGAAGAGAGCAAGTCTGGTACAGGCCAAGAGGCAACCTGTGTCCCAACTACCGCGGACATCAGTGAAGCCAAACAGTTTTGAGAAGGAGAATTCAGCACTGCAATACTCTGAGAGTCAATGCCAGGGAGAACCTGCATTCTACCCCTGATAATTCAGGCAGACCCCTACTCCGCCCCCCACCCCAACCTCCAAAAAAGGCCAGAGTTTTCTCACCTGGAAGTGGTCATTCTCTAGAGGAAATTTAATAGGCAGAGAAAATGAACAAAGCAACCTCAAAATTGGCTCCCACAAGCCTCTGACATCAGGAACCACAATTCCTCCTCAAGAGGGAATGCCCCAACATCCCATGGAATAGTGCTTTTTGAAAATCCTTCATCATCACCCTGACTTTGCACTCATTCTGTCAACTGTTCGGTGTCCTCTACATCACTATACATACATGGTCTGCTGTCCTTTGACCTGATGTATTGGAAGTTCTAAGTCTGTGAGGCTTCAGCATAGCTGATTTTTGGAACTAGAAAGGACTTTAGAGATCATATAATCCAGTTCCTTCATTTTTGGATTAGAAAACACTTCTTCCCCCCACCACCCCAAGTACCTAGTGACTAAGCTGAGACTAGAACCTGGTCTCCTGTTTAGCATTCTTTTGCCATTCCACTAAGATTAAATAAAGGTGCCAGATGGAGTTAAATGTTAAAGGGAGGGAAGCTTACCTATAAATGGTGTGCTTAGATTTGCTGACTACACTGTTCCCAACACTTCTCTTGACTCTGGTTTATAACTTTCTCCACCTAATGGCTATTCCAGGTTATTTTCATGAATCTGGTCCACTCTTTCTCTTGGTCCTGAGCTACTTATTAAGAGTACAGGTGCATGGGGTGCCTGGGTGGCTCAGTCATTGAGCGTCTGCCTTCGGCTCAGGTCATGATCCCAGGGTCCTGGGATCGAGCCCCACATCGGGCTCTCTGCTCAGTGGGGAGTCTGCTTCTCCCTCTCCCACTCCCCGTGCTTGTGTTCCCTCTCTCTCTGTCTCTCTCAAATAAATAAATTAAAAAATCTTAAAAAAAAAAAAAAAGAGTACAGGTGCTTAATACCTCGTTATTACCTTTCTACTGCCCATTCGCAACTTGGGAAAGACTCCCAAGTAGCTTCTCTCAGCATCAACTGCCTCAGTAGGGCCTCTGTATCTGCTCTCGTTGCTCTTCTCTACAGCTCACCTATCACACACCTTTTTCCCCTTTTCTCTGTTTCTGCCTCCTTTGTAGTATCAAAGAAAGAAAAGAAAAGAAAAGAAAAGAAAGAAAGAAAGAAAGAAAGAAAGAAAAGAAAAGAAAAGAAAAGAAAAGAAAAGAAAAGAAAAGAAGAAAGAAAGAAAGAGAAAGAAAGAAAGAGAGAAAGGGGGAGGGAGTGAGGGAAAGAGAAGGAGGAGGGAGGGAGGATGGGTGGGAGGGAGGGAGGGAAGGAGAGAAACAGCACGTAACTGTCAACTAAAACTGTTCCTATCCCCCTCGCTCAGCTTTGTCCTCTTTAAAACTAAGATCTGAACATGGAATGTGATTGGAGCCAAAGGCACGTGGGTGGCTCAGTCAGTTAAGTGTCCAACTCTTGATTTCAGCTCAGGTCATGATCTCAGGATCGTGAGATTGAGCCAGTGTCAGGCTCCCCACTCAGCAGGGAGTCTGCTGGAGATTCTCGCTCCCTCTCCCTTTGCCCCTCCCCCTGCTTGTGCACACGCACATGCTCTCACTCGCCCTCTCTCTAAAACAAATAAATCTTAAAAAAAAAAAAATAAAGAGAGCCAAGATCCCTTTCTTCATGCAAAATCAGAACTGAAACAAAACAAGACAAAAAACACTGGTATAAATAATTAATAGCCAAGCTTATTCATAAGCTGTTATGGTATAGAGCTATGCATAGGATTTAACTGCAGGCCGAAGAAGAGAACAGCTTCTTATCAGACAGGGGCAAGTCAAGGACACTAGAGAACTGGCACTCAGGATCTCAGTGCCAACGCATAAGTAGTACAGAGCTCATCCTGGCTGGCTTCTGGCTCACCACTCTCCACATTCACGCGTACACACACACACACACACACACACACACACACACATTTTTAGAAATCTGACACCACTTCGAGTCATCGGGGCACATGACCAGCCAAACTGTTCCACAGATAGTCACAGAAGTAGCACTACATAGAGAGAAGAGTTAAGATAACTATAAAAGATAAGAGGTTGGTTGTATAAACATAACACTGTTAATTAGTCATATGTCTGTAAGAGTTTGGTATCAAGTACATGTTGTAGTCATTGTGGAAATAAGGGGAGCAGGATGTCCTTTTTTTAAAAATATAACCTTTTGGTTTACCATGTTTCCAATTTTTTTGAAGACTTTTTTATTTTAGAGATAGAGGGAGAGAGAGAGAGTTGGGGGGGAGAGCAGAGGGAGAGGGACAAGCAGACTCCCCGCTGAGCATGGAGCCTGACAACTGGAGGCTCAATCGCACTACCCTGAGATCATGACCTGAGCGGAAACCAAGAGTCAGATGCTTAACTGATGAGCCACCCAGGCGCCCCTCCAATTTTTAAATAGTTTTTATAAGGGGAGAAGAGGCTAATATAAGCCCCTCCTTACCAAAGACTTGATGCTTAGTCTGAAATATTTCCAAAGAAGAAGGGCCTATGTTATAGTAACTCAACACTGTGTAAATAGTGTTGCCCATTTGGTGAGCAATGGCTGCTCATCCCCACAAAACAGAATGGCAGAGCTTATTGCAGAGAGTATCCTTTTAGATGCAGACAATCTTCATAGCCAAAACCTTCCAGGCCTTAACAGACAATTCTCATCAGCTTCCATCCTCCATAGCCCCAGGAATGCGCTGCCCCAAAATGCCAATGCCAGACAGACATACCATATAAAGGAATGTATCATATCTTCTTGCTGACTGACAACTACAAGTTACTAACTGTGCCAGAAGCTCGCACAAAGTATCTCAAACCTTCCTCTTTTCTACTGCCCTCTATGTAACACCTTAAAAAAGAGACTTAACTACAGAAGTCACCTGCCCCAAACTACACTCGTCTCTTTTCAAAGGGAGAAACACAGTGGCCATAAGTGGCGAGGGAGGTAACATATATATCTTTTTAAAGATTTTATTTATTTGACAGAGAGAGAGAGAGAGACAGCGAGAGAGGGAACACAAGCGGGGGAGTGGGAGAGGGAGAAGCAGGCTTCCCGCGGAGCAGGGAGCCCGATGCGGGGCTCGACCCCAGGACCCTGGGATCATGACCTGAGCTGAAGGCAGACGCTTAACCAACTGAGCCACCCAGGCGCCCCGGGAGGTAACATACATTAAGTGCCTGCTAGATGCTAAGCATTATGTAAAGCACTTAAAGTACATTATTCTCATCAAATCCCCTTAACTATCCAATGAAGAAGGTATTATTGGTCCCAATTTACAGATGACCAAATTGAAACTCAGAAAGGTTAAATAAGTTACTCAAAGCCACATAGCTAGTTGGAGCTAAACTGCATTAAGGGCAACATATTGGGAAGAAGGTCCATGAACTCCCCCTGCCAAGGTCTATACAACTGTACTGGTTCCTCCTAAATTTAAATTAAAGAAACATTTGTTGAGGGTGGGGGAGCTAGCTATCTAGGGTCAACACCTATATTTGCAATCCAAACCATAACTTTAGTCAGAACTCCACTGATAAGGCCCTCATATATCAAAGTGGCCAATGAAAAAAATCCTGTAAGTTCAAGTGCATCTCTCTCATAAGAATATGAGGATTTAAAAAAAAAAGAATATGAGGATTTCACCCCACTGACCTGGGACACTTTAACCTCCACACTCTCAAAAACAAGAGGTGAAAAGGAAGGACTCGAACAAGTATTTATACACCCATGCTCATAGCAGCATTATTCACAATAGTCAAAAGGAAGAAGCAACCCAATATCCAATAAACAAAATGCAGTGTATACAAACAATGGAATAATATTCAGCCTGAAAAAGGAAGGAAATTCGGACACACACTACAACATGGATGAATCATGAAGACAGTATGCGAAGTAGAAAAAGTCAGTCACAAAAAGACAAATACTGAATGATTCAACTTATATGACTAGAGTAGTCAATTCACAGAGACAGAAAGTAGAATGGTGGTGGCCAGGAGCACGGGGAAGGAGAAATGTAGAGTTATTGTTTATTGGGTACAGAGAGTTTCAGTTTGGGAAGATGAAAAAATTCTGGAGATGGAAGGTGGAAAAATTTACAACAATGATGTGAATATACTTAATGCCACTGAACTGTACATTTAAAAATGGTTAAATTTGGGCGCCTGGGTGGCTCAGATGGTTAAGCGTCTGCCTTCGGCTCAGGTCATGATCCCAGGGTCCTGGGATCGAGTTCCACATCGGGCTCCCTGCTCCTTGGGAGCCTGCTTCTCCCTCTGCCTCTCTCTCTCTGTCTCTCATGAATAAATAAATAAAATCTTAAAAAAAAAAAAAAAGGTTAAATTTGGGGCACCTGGGTGGCTCAGTCGGTCAAGCGGCAAAGATTGCCTTTGGCTCAGGTCATGATCTTGGGAGTCCCAGGATCGAGTCCCGCATCAGGCTCCCTGCTCAGTGGGGAGTCTGCTTCTCCCTCTGACCGTACCCCCTCTCGTGCAGTCTCTCTAACTCTCTCTCTCTCTCTCAAATAAATAAATAAAATCTTTTAAAAAAAATGGTTAAATTTTATGTTATGTATGTTTTACCAATTAAAAACAAACAAGAGGTCAATGTTTTTCTTTCTACCAACACTAGCATGAGCCCCACAAACATCCATCCCAACTTTCTATAACCTCAGTGTTAAGTGACTAGCTAAAATGTACATCACGGTATACACAGCATGGAGTGCACGGCCAAACCTGCAAAGATGTTTCCTCTTTGATGGATTAAAGAAAAGGAGCCAAATATACTCAATCAAAAGAGAGCCACGGACTCTTGGGCAGGAATGCAAATTAAAAATGAATCCTGAGTAGCCTTCAAGACGACACTGTGGCAGCCTTCAGAATAATAATCAAAGTTCACAATCAAAGCCACCAATATACTTAAGTACCAACAATAGTCTAGGAAATCCTCAGGTATCCTGGATTAGACTCCTGATCTTTGCTAACTCTATTAAGTGAGGCTCCAGATACCTGGCTCCAAATACTCTTAACCTACACTGAGTAAAAAATAGAGA